TCCATCCTAGGGTTCTGAAAGAGATGGCTGATGTGGTTGCCCCGAGCTGTCTCCATCATATTTGAAAAATCATGGCTGTCTGATGAAGTTCCCAGTGACTGAAAAAAGGGAAATGTTACTCCCATTTTTAAAAAAGGGGAAAAAAAAGACCTCGGGAACTACAGGCCAGTGAGCTTCACCTCTGTGCCTGGGAAGATCATGGAGCAGATCCTCCTAGAAGCTATGTTAAGGCACATACAAGATAAAGGGGTGATTTGAGACAGCCAGCATGGCTTCACCAAGGGCAGATCCTGCCTGACCGATCTGGTGGCCTTCTATGATGGAGTGACGGCTTCGATGGATGTCATCTACCTGGACTTCTGCAAGGCCTTTGACATGGTCCCTCAGCACATCCTTCTATCTAAATTGGAGAGGTGCAGATTTGAAGGATGGACTGTTTGATGGATTAGGGATTGGCTGGCTGGATGCAGCCGAAGGGTTGTGATCAATGGCTCTGTGTCAGGGTGGAGGCTGGTCACAAGCAGTGTCCTTCAGGGGTCGGTCTTGGTTCTTTAACATCTTCACCAATGACATTAGATGATGGCATCGAGTGCATCCTCAGCAAGTTTGCGTATGACACCAAGCTGAGCAGTGCAGTCAATACACTGGAGGGAAGGGAAGCCATCCAGGGGACCTGGACAGGCTGGAGAAGTGGGCCCACGAAAACCTAATGAGGTTCAATAAGGCCAATTTGGGTTGGAGCAATGCCAGGTATTGATACAAACTGGGGGAAGATCTCCTTGAGAGCAGCCTTGCAGAGAAGGACTTGGGAAAAGCTGGACATGAGCCAGCAGTGGGCACTTGCAGCCTGGAAAGCCAACTGTGTTTTGGGCTGCATTAAAAAAGGGGTGGCCAGCAGGGAGAGGGAGGTGATTGTCCCCCTCTACTCAACTCTTGTGAGGCCCCATCTAAGAAGGCTCTGGGAGACCTCCTTGTGGCCTTTCATTGCTTGAAGGGAGCATATAAACAAGAGGAGGAACGGCTGCTGACAAGGGTGGATAGTGATAGGACAAGGGGGAATGGTTTTAAACTAAAACAGGGGAGGTTTAGGTTAAATATTAGGAGGAAGTTTTTCACTCAGATTTTCACTCAGAGGGTGGTGATGCACCAGAACAGGTTGCCCTCCCTGGAGGCATTCAAGGCCAGGCTGGATGTGGCTCTGGGCAGCCTGGTCTGGTGGTTGGCAACCCTGCATATAGCAGGGGGGTTGAAACTGGATGATCTTCGTGGTCCTTTTCAACACAGGCTGTTCTATGATTCGAGACACAGGAGGTTTTAGCTATGAGAAGCTGGGAACTGCCTACCACACCTAGAATAATCTGCCTCCATTAAACTGGGGAGATGTGCTTTGTGTAGCTGGAGCACCACTTGGACATTAACTCACCCTCAAAGGTCCTGACAACCAGGGGCTGAAACTGTCATCACTGATTTTCCATGTAAACAATGGACGGAGATTAGCGTGCTCAAAGGAAGGTTCATGTCAGAATTATGTCAGGCTGTCCTAGAAGAACTGGAAAATGCAGAAGAGGGCTTAGGTTGATTGACTTCCATGTGAGGTGCCCAAGGTGGAATTATTTCTCCTAGAAGTGAGTGTTGCAGAGCATGCCTTGAATTGCTGATTCCAAATCATCTCAGTGAAGTTGGATTTAGCTTGTGTTACATAGAAAAATGTGAATGTTCCTTTCTCACAGAAGTATTTTTGTAATACTGTGCAGCTAAATACTATTTGTCATCCTGTACAGATATAGATGTCCAAAGGTAATCTGCTTTACTATCATTCTGAATTTCAGAGATCAAACAACAGCATCTTGCAAGTCAATCTGCACAAGTAGAAATGAATAAGATTAGCATGTCAAATCAAAAATTCAGTGCTGTTTTATTACGTGTGTACAACTGCTTTGGCTTTGATAAGCACATAGTAGAAAACATGAGCACAGGAAAAACTTTATCCATTTACCATTTTTTATTAGTGTTAAACCAACCAGCCTTAATTCAAAAAAACAAAATATACACACGTGGTCAGTTTGCTAATATAGAATAATACTATGACACATCTTATACAATGATTGTACTTAACAGTAACTCTGCCCTTCAACCTTAAAGCAAATTTAAGTCTTTCAGAAGCTATTTTGAGTGGATTCTTTGCACTAGTGAGATATGAACTATCAGGCTACCCTGTAACAAGTGTAGCAATGATCTACAGCCTGTTAATCATACAAATAGACTGCAGCTGGAAATAATTCCTCCTGAACGAATGGGAGGATTCTGAAAGAATTATGGGTAAATCAGTCCACTCTCATATCCTCTCAAAGAAATATTTATCTGTCTTGGGAGAAAGGCTGAGAAAAAAAGCATGATATGTATATTAAGCAGCTGCCCACAGTATGGCTCCTATTGTACAAAAACAATGCTGGAACTCAAACCAAGCCATGATCTCAGTGCAGAGATAAGAAGCAGCTTGGAGCAAAGCTCCTTGCAGATACACAACTTCACTGGAAGCCCTGCCACCTACAGCCTCTTGCTTATGTGTTTGACAAGCAGTGCAGCAGTTATGGTTTCAATGAATGTTTATCTACTTCTACAATAAAATCTACAATAAAAGTTTGTATTAAAATTGAATTTATGTTTAGTCAGATGACCCTAATTCTTGAAGTATGAATTCTTGAAGTATGCTATGAGGGAAAGAGACTTAAAGCTAGAGTTCAGAAACCACTATGCTTTTTAGTCTATTGGAGTATTAAAGTATCAGTTGTAATGCAGGCAGAAAGGCTTCTTTGGTTGTTACAGCTGCTTCCATTACTTAGCAGAAAGCTGAAATACCTTAAAAATACTGCTACGGTCCTGCACAGAAGCATTAAAATCACAAGAAATTCTTACCCAAGCAAAATGAAGTGACTGATCCCAGCAGCTCACATGCATCCCTTGGCATTCCACTACCTTCCTCCTGATGTGGAAGAGGCACCGGAGAACAGAAGAGCTGCAGGAAGCCCAGAGAGAGCTGTGCTCTGCTCCCTCCCTCAGAAATAAAGATGCTTAATTTACATCCTGGCACACTCACTGTAAACCATAAGCAAAAATCTAAAGTTGCTGAGATGGAAGTAAACATTGTCCTATAAAGTTAAGTCATGTAAGTTGCTCTTCTACCACCATGTGGTGTAGTGGTAGAAGATGCCCTTCTTACGTAAGGCATCATTTTACATGGCTTCCCAAAATCCAGTGAAAGTGAGAACAGTGATACGTTTTGGATTCTAGCGCTACCTCCGCTTGGTTCTCATGCTGTATCTGTTAATACCTCAGTTGCATGACTTCACACGGTGAGATTCTACAGTTCTTTTAGCAAAGGGGGGCCTTTTCAAACTCCCAAGGCAATGTTTTTCCTATATAGTACTTTGCTCTAGTGCACAGTCCCTTTTGTAAAGCAAGGTGATTTCCAACATGTAAGTGAACAAGGAAAGAGCTCTAGGTTTCTCTTAAGTGGCAAGTGCAATTGGCTTGTGTTATAATCTAGCCACTGAGAAGGTTAATTGCATAGGGGGCTATGTTTCTTTTTGCTTAAGCTTCTGTTAGTGATACAGTACTAATAAATTACCCTGGAGAGAAATAAATAAATAATAGGTTGGCATCCCCCAGACACTGCAAAGGAAATCCAGAGAGTTCCAGGAAAGCGGTCCTGATGGTCCTGGGAAGGTACTCTGCAAACAAGTCCAGCTCACACCACTGTCTGTACAGGAGTGACGCACTGCGCGGGAGAGCCAGCTCTCTCTGAGGATGAGGTGGAACGGTTGGTGATTTCTCTCTGCAGCTCCTCCACTTTCTTCTGCAGCTCAGCCCGCTTGGCAAGAAGCTCCTTGTAGCGGTTGTGGACAGGCTCCTGCAAGAAAAGCTGGAGCTGAGGGCTACAAGGCAAGCGTGCAAGCCTCATCCGCATCATGGTGCCACTGATCCTGCACTCCTACTTTACCCAACACATGTAGGGTAACAGTGGCTAAACAAAACCTGATGTATATCTTGATAGGTGACAGAGCTCTAATCTCTGCTGTTTCTGGGAGATGCCAACCTTGGCACCTCAGTCTGGTCATAGTTTCAGAACTCTGAGGAAAAGTATATGTTTTTCTAAACATTTTCACACAGTCAGTTCAACAGTACTGAGAAGCATTTATTGGGTTCCTGTGTCTAATGCTCCAGATCTGCAAAACAGTGCTAACTACAGTTAGACTGTCTGAGAATTTCTATCCCTTCCTACATAAAAGTGATTGAAGCATTTAGGGCCACATTCAGGCTGCTTGTCTCAGGTGTCTGCCTTGGACAAGCCAGTTCCCCTGCTGTAAAATTTCAAGGCCATAAACAAGGGTTGCACCCCTGGGCCTTAGGCAACCGAAGTAAGCAGCAGGTTACTAATGGCAGAAATCTACTTGCAGCCCCTGAGCTCAGATCTAAAGCCCTACACCCAAAGATGTCTTAGGTTCTCAGGTTCTTTTCTGAAGAAGAAACTCTTCAGATGATGGTTTTCCTGCTACTCATGAAATTTTACAAACAGTGGAGCAGCTTCAGCTCCTGCAAGTTTCACAAGGTGGCGATCTCCAGCTAACCACCATCTGCACTTGCCTCTCTTTTCATTTGCTTGTGTGTTAACTCTGGCTTTTGTTTTTAGATTTAAGCAGTGGCAGCTTAAGTCTGAGCATTATTTCCTGTGCTTTAAAGGCCCTGAGCTCCACAATGACAGTATTAGTATTAGCACAGAGGGAAAGAAAAGGATCCGTGGCAGGGATTGCAACAAGCTGTACCTGTGGCTTCATCCTGGGGTTCCAGCGGATGTAGTAGCCGACCCACAGCTCCAGGTGCCGCATGCTGGCCACAGGGTACAGGACGTGGTTGGAGTAGCTCACATACAAGGGGTTAGTGAAGTCCTCCAGCTGGCTGTTAATGTAAGACCAAAGTGACACGGTCTTTTTTGGAAGGCTCTGTAAGGGAAGGGTTGGAGGAGGCTTTATTTCCCATACTAGCATTTATGAGTACTTAAACAGCATTACATATGCCTGTCATTAATACAGATCTGGTTGCCTTCTTGTAGCTTAAAAAGAATTCTTCTTTTGATGTGGTTATTGGAATCGAAGCACATGGATGCAGGCAGGCAGGCACACACACACACCCTGGCACGGAACTCCCTGTGCTCTCAGCACGGCCCCAAAGTCGCCATCGGCACAAGGGGACACAGCTCAGAACTGGCATGTGAACTCTCAGTGCTTTGGTTACATTTCACCTCTTTAAAGTGGTCCCGGAGGACTTGCTGGAGCAAGTAATGGGTTGGGGGTGGAGGAAGAAAAAAGAAAAATCCATGTGACTGAAGTCCTGATGTAGTGAAGTAATTAGGCTCATGAATAGTCCCAGCGAAATGGAAAGAGCATGGAGGTTTTCTTTTCTGGAAATTCAGCCACTGTGGACTCAAAAAACAGGGACTGATTTCAGTATAACACTATCACTCTGTATCACAGCAATTGCTTCATATTTTATTTTTTAACCAGTCTGCTGTCGAACACAGCACTGTCCTCTGGGATGTTAGGCTGCAATGTTTCAGTGATAACACCCTTCACTGTCAGTTTGGTGGTGAGCAGGGTAGTGCTGAATAGGTGTGAAGGTACACAACCCAATTGGAACCAATCTCAAACAAACCTATATCAGAGTGTAAGGGCAGAGCTGGTCGATGGAAGGGCCTAGAGCCATGTCCTTTCTCTAACTAGAAGCTCTGTCCTCTCCTAGAAAAAATGCAAGCACAGCAACAACGTACACTTTTTGTAACCCATGTATGCAGAATGACAATATGCTCATTAGTTTAAACCTAAAGAAAAAGGGAGGGGAAAAAGGTACCAGCTTCTAGAGATAAGTTTATGTTAAACCAAAGGTAAACCAAAGAAAAATTGCATTTCCAACTACTTTGGAGACAGCAGGAGCTGCTGAGCCACCAGAAAGTAGCTGAAGGATTCACTGAAAAGAGGGAGTGTGTGCAAAAGGGTAGTGCTCTGAAATGTAACATCCCCACAGAGAGCAGCTGACACAAAGTGGAAAAGACCCCGAGTGTCCCAGCTGTTAAGATGGAGGCTTGGCAGTACCTACAACCAGCTGCAATTTCTCCAGCACCATCTGGCCAGCTAAAGCAATCACAGTATCATGTCTTCACCTCGGAGAGATGCTCTTACCTCCTTTACTCTCTGCTGCTCACTGCTGCACAGGAACGTCCCAAATAAACAGCTGTACAGGTGGTCCAGGATGGTTATCAGGAAGTACTCGTTGAACTCAAACGCTGTAGGAAACTTCAGGCAGAACCAGAAAATGGGTTGGGATTTTACAACAGCAGTCACAAATAAACTTTCTCCCACAGTGGTAAGGAGCTTGCTTGCCTCTCAATTCTAAGACAGCATTTGCCTCTGTTCTGCGGCTGGCTGGATATTTGGGGTCATAACTGCTCCTCCCAGGAGCAAGAGTTTCTCTCTTGGAAAGCTGCTTTACACGTGCAGAGAGGTATTCTGAGCAAAAGCCAGAGGCATGAAAGGTCTGACCGCTGTGTTTACACACATTCAGTGCTGCTTCAAGTTGAAGCTTGCTCTGCTGTTGCCTGCCCCGAGTGACAGACCATTCAACCACACTGCAAACAAAAGGGTGGAGCATATCTGAAATAAAACATAAAGGAATGGAAATCCCCTGGAGCCAAATGGGAATACTGTGTGTGCCCAAGAGAGCACTTTGCAGAGGGCACAGCAGAGGGGCACCATGCAACACAGATCAGTGGGATGAATGGAGGTGTACAGCACAGGGGCTGTGGTTGCTGCTGATGTACAAATACAGATAGATCAATGACAGGGAGAACTGGAGCTCCACAAAGGGGCAAAAGGAGTACGTGCAGCAAACTGCAAAGATGGAGAGGACAGCAAGAGGCCTTCCTCCCTTGGAAAACACTTTTCTCCAACTGCACTGGCTGCTGTTTTCACCTCACCATCAGGATGCCGAGGACAGCAGAACAGAAGTGGTTTTAGGGGTGGTAAATTCTCCCCCTTTCTCTGCTTGGATACAGTACAGCTTCATATATTGGGCATCTTTTTCCCCATTTCATAGTTCATGATGAGCCTATCTTTTTCAGTGAACTGCCCGATCACTGCTAACATTGACTTTAAAATACAGTACAGAGATCACAGCAGACATTAAGAAATCCCAGGTCCCACACAGTGTGGGGAAAACCTCCACTAGCCATTGGGGATCCTTTCTAAAGTAAGGAGCAGTTCCTAGCTCCAAACTCAAGTATCAATGAGGAGCAATGTACCAGTTTTCAGAAGAAGTCACTTTAGAGCAAATTCCCTGCAGGTTTGTTTATGGGATCAGTGTGAACAAATATTTGCATCCACAATGCCAGAAACTTAAATTAGTAGCTCAGGTTACTCATGTTTCTGAAGACATAGTGGGCTAAGTAAGGGTGGCTGAGGTGTCTGTCTCTACCCCACTAAATATGAAGACACTGTCTTTCTTTTTTAGGGTGACATGCTTCTCACAAGCTCACATTTACCATAGCAGCATCCATGCAAGCAGTGCCCACTGGCTAGCTCATCTGACACAAGACTACATCACGGCCTTCCTGCACAGCTGTGCATTCAGGCTCCCTGCTAAAGTGAGATAGCCAAGACACTTGTCAGAGTCCAACAAAACGAGAGTAGAAGCCCAAGAAGGAAAACTTGTGTAGGTCCTGGGGCTGGACCCCGTGCCACATTGTGGTACAGTGGCTTTGCAGACGTGCTGCTCAGCAATTTACCTGTCTTGTCATTTGCCAGACACAATCGATGAATTGGAGGAAGACAGGAGAGCGATCTGCATCTGCATGATTCTTATCTCCATGGCCAACTCTCTGGAACAGAGCAGGACAAAGAACATGAGAAGCACAGTTTCATGGGGAAGCTGCTGGGGGCTCATCTCAGTCACACAAGACTGCACCAACAGATCTAAACAGGTTCAAATGAATGTTGATTTTACTCCGTCCGTATTAGTGGGTAAAGCAGTAAAGGACAGCTACTCCCTTAGTCTTTGAAGTGAAAATTTTTTATGATGATATTTTCATGTTAAATTAAAACGAGTTGTTTGAGTAGAGGCTCCAGATGCTACGCTGGCACTGATTTCAGCTAATAGCTAAAGTTCAGAGGAAAAAAAAATTAGAATGCTTTTTGCTTCAGTTGCAGCTGTCATCCTGGCTACTTCAGTAGTAGATTTTGTTGGATCTAAACACTACCTACAGACACAGCATGTGGTGATAACCATCACACAACACCTCATGGCTTCCAAGTGCTGTACAAACACTAACTCAGCCCATCTCCTGCCACCTCAAGAGATGCAATTAAGAAAGTATCCCAGGAATAGGCCTCCAACCCCGACCACGCTGTGTGGCCCTGGATAGGAATGCGAGGCATGATTCCTTGCTACTATACAGTACATTAGTGGTATACATTACCTCTGAGCTCTAAGCTCAGTACAAAGATTGAACAAGAGCATGGAGGTAAAGGAGTTACCTGTTCTTGTAACAGTGTTGTCCTCTCAGCAGAGGAAATCCTTTGTACAGACAGGGAAGTAAAAATCCTCATGGTGCAAACAACAGGTAATGGTTTCGCTGAAGCAGAACCTTAATTACACAGTGCCTCAATTATCCCACCTCCTTCAGAGGTGGGGAACAGCATTTGACTACACAAATTACCATCATTGCATCTGCTGTAAACAAACCTTGTTCTAGCCCTTGTCAAACTAAACAACTACAAGAGAACAGCTACAGTCAAAACACCAGAGGAACAAAGACCAAATGGACACTACTGAAGCTTTCTCCCAGTACAAATCATAACAAACAGCCAAGTCACTGGTTTGCAAAGCTGCCCCCTCCGCACACATCCACGATCTCAAACTGCTGGTCTTTTGCCTAAACATTAAGAGCTCCCCCAAAAGCAAAATGTGCCCAAAGAAAATGTGAGCTCAAGGCCACTGCAAAATTCCCCAACCTCTTCAGTACTAAGGTATTTGTTGACAATGTCCAGGCAGCCTTAAAAAATGGACTGAACTGAAAACACAAACAAAATACCCCACTCTTTGCCAATTCCCAGCTTATACTGAACGCAGAGCACACTGCTAGTGGAAGCTGAGCATGGGAGCTGAGAAGGTTAATACTACCTGCTCCTCCTATCTAAGCAAGGCTGTCTCCAAGGAGGTTAAGACATGATAGCCATTATAGACAGAAAACAGGAGCAGTAGCATTCACTTTTCTTCTGCCAGTTCAGCTAGGAGACTTCTCACAGAAAAGGCTAAACTCCTTTGAAAATCTCTTCAAGGTATACAAAAGCTTTCTGTGTTATGCACTTTCCAAGGGCTCTTAACTCACCAGTTGAAATCTGTGTCCAAAGCTCAGCCACTCCTTCTCCACTAGCACTTCAAAGCCCCTGATAGTTCGGTAGTAGCCATCTAACATCAGCAGAGAGAGAGAGGTGAGCTGGGCTGTCCGGTCCCAGCCGTCACTGCAGTGCACAACCACAGATGTCTTCCCTGACTCCACCTTGTCGGCAATCCGCAGGGCTCCAGCAAGAATGAGCTGGGACAAGAAAAAAAAAAAAGTTCCAAAAATGTCTTTGGAACAGAAAGTATGCATGACAAACGGCTACTGACAGCATAGGACAAACCAAGGGCTCTATGTGCCTCAAGGAGAATGGTAAATCAGTTCCAACTTCTTTATAACTAGGGCAGCAAATTGGTGTCATCGTTACAAAAAATGTGTTCACATCTAAACCATAATGCAGGCACCACTGTAAAAAAGCCCCTGCATTAAGCTCAGCCATCCTTGGACAGGTTAGGATTTCAGCCCAGGAGCATTTTGTATCTCAAAATGGCTACTGCTTTCCAATTGCTTGAGAAGCAGAACAAGTTCTTTCTTTATTAACTGACAGACAATGTAATCTGTACATTTTTTAGGACAGAAAGCTTAGTTTGAAGATGAATATGTACAAGCTGAAGCATTTTGCCCCATTCATTTTGATTCTGCTCCAATTCCTGAAAGGCTGAGAAGGCATCAACACCCAACACCTGCTGGTCTGGGCCAGGCAGCAACACCTGGATGGCAAGGATCCCAAAGCTGAGAGGTTGGAAACAGACTCCTGTGTTCTCAGGAGTGCTTTCATGGTTACATGTTATCCAGAAATACAGTTTGCTTTCAAAACACCATCTTTCAGTGTTTTGTCACCCCCTCTCTGGTACTGTTTGCCATCTCTTTTAAATTCCTCATCCCCAGACACTGTATTTTTGTTGCTTTTAAATTGGAAATTATTAAATTTTAATCTTAAATAATTAAATTTCTTATTATTTGAGGATCTGTCACTGGAATTAGCTCAAGTGGCATTTCCCAATGGACAGAGTGGTACAAACTCAGCTACATCCAGTGGATGCAGACATGCATACCTTGATATGCTCTAGCCAATGAGTTGATTCTAAATTAGACAGCCAGTGAGTCTCTTCAATATTGGGATACACAATTTCTTTCAGCTTTCTCAGTGACTCTCTCATGACATGAATGTTGTGAATGTCCAGGAACACTAATTCTGCATTCTGATAGGCATCCTCACTCTCATAGCCTCCTCCTTTAGCCTGAAGAAAAAAAAAAGGAAAAAAAAGCATAAAAATCACTAAGTGAAAGCATATTTGATATTTTATTCCAATAGTATCTATGAGCAAATATGAGCTGACAAAATAGCACAGTGTCTATGCCATCTAAAGCACTGGATTTATCTTACAATTGAGAACAAATATATACATGGACACATTTTGTGTCTCTTTCCTGCAACAGTAATGAATGCTGTAATTTTCACTGAATAATATCACATTACAAGCTTTCTTTTTCTCAGTAATTATCATTTATCCCCATTCAAGCTGCTAGCTCATTAGATTCGCTATTCTGTCATTTACAAATTTACCATACTATTATAGAGGAGTATATCCCACACACTAATTGCCTTTCTTAAGTAGTGGAAAAGACAGATTAAAAAAAATCAGTTTTAGTGCAGCAAAGTAGTTCTACCATAAAAACATGACTTAGTGTGATGGCATGAGACACAACAGCAAGAATAACACAGTGATATTCCTGGACATTAGAGCACACTAGATAATGTTCTGAAATTAAAGATCATGATGCCTTATTTTCAGAAGAGACAAGCATTCCCTGCTCCCATCAAGTTTAACAGGGACAGGAGTTCTAATACTCTCAGAGGAGGCAGAATGGTCAAACTGAGACAGTTTTAGGTTAAATATTAGGAGGAAGTTTTTCACACAGAGGGTGGTGACACACTGGAACAGGTTGCCCAAGGAGGCTGTGGATGCCCCATCCCTGGAGGCATTCAAGGCCAGGCTGGATGTGGCTCTGGGCAGCCTGGTCTGGTGGTTGGTGACCCTGCACATAGCAGGGGGGCTGAAACTGGATGATCACTGTGATCCTTTTCAACCCAGGCCATTCTGTGATTCTATGATTATGATTCTATGATATCGACTGGTACAGGTGCAGAAGTCAGACTAGTTAATTAGATCACTCTGTATGTATTCCCAGTGGAAATCCCTTTGTGATTCTCAGGAATAATTTGAAATATTGGTGGGATGTGTGTTCTAGATGACTGGATTCACAACTCTTATCAAAGCAAACAAAAAAGCTGACCTTATTGGCTACAGCATTCACACTAGGCCTTGCATCGAATATGAAGATTTTATGGGATTGAGCATTAGAATCCATGATGGCTTGAAGGTACTTTTCATCTTCCTTGCTTCGTTTGCCACTTACTCCCACCATTGGCTGGCTACAGCGAGTAATTGTTGCTTGACTTTCTGGGTGAATCCACGACAATACCTTCAGAAACAAATGAAAAAGAAATGAGGGACAATAAGGATTCATTAAATGAATGTTTTACCTATAATGGCTTGTTCTGGGAACTTCCCATACACTACCTGGTTCCAAAAGGCTGGATTTTATTAAGTCATGATTGAATGAACCAAATGTACTGTATTTATTCATTCGGCACTTATTCATTCTGGTTACACTGCCAAAGTTGAAACAAACAAGAGGTGATTGAATAGGATTAAGTCTGACTGTTTTCTCACCATTGTGTGAGTCACAAAAACACCTTCACAGTCTGCAGTCACTGGGTTATGTCTTACCTTATGCTACAGCATGTAAAAGTTAAGAACTCTTGGAACAGATTTAATTTTCTGTAAGCATGAGAGGCAAAAATACATTTTCAGTTGCTGCTGCATTAGCCACCATATTGCTGTCTTTTGTCTTAATTTGATATAATAAACATTTTCACTAAGAGTATTGTTAAGTATTCCTCTGTCTTGAGTGTCAGAGTAGGCCAGACAACAGTAAACAACCAAATAGGGCTACTGCGTGTCCCAGGATTTGAACTGAGATTCAGTCTGGGTTGTGCTAAGCTATCTTATCTTCTCCTTTTCGTTTAGTCTACATCTCTTTCACAACAGTAGTTTCAGCAGATAATGCTGTTTTCTAACTCCTCAGACATGTTGCTGTCACTTTTATTATCCATTGACCATTTATTTGCTCCCTGGAATCCACTCTTAGCATTATTTATGGCCCAAAGGTATGTAACAAAACCACATCAAAGTGGCTTCTTTTGTCACACTCACTGGTATTCGTCCTCTTGATCTGAAAGATGCCACTCTCTTTAATTCTTCATCAGGAATGTTTACAGGCACAGCTAGAATGGCAGGGTATGTATCACACAGCTCATAACGCTCATTAATCTTGCTCAGCCTCCAGCTTTCGTTGGGAATTCCCTTAAGAGGAAACAACAGCAGGTTAGCAAATAAGTTGCTCTGAGGCTTCACCACAGTTAAATCCCAAGACCTGAAATCCAAGGTAACTTTGGTTAACGAAGGGCATTTAGAGCTGGACCCCAGGATTGCATTATCTTGGTCACTTGCATTTCATGCCTCTTTCCGGATAGGCAGATGTTTTGCTCAGGTCACTGAAGACAAAAGAAAATTAGAGGACTGAAGGCTGGTTTGTCCAGGATTAATGAACTGTAGAGGCTGCAGATGAAGCAAGAGATGAGGTGGTCCTCCAAGAGCTTCTTTAACATCTCTTCTGCTTCCATGATGGTGCTCACAGGTGAGCAAGAAGCAGGGCACCACCAGTAACTGTCAGCCCCCACTCCTCTGGCAGCACTTAGCTCAAATAGGCTGGGTGGCAACTGGGGATGGAAAGCAGAGCTACCAGACAGGATGGAGGAGTACACACAAGCACACCACTGAACGCAGCGTGTCCTGGGTAGGAAGCAACTCAGCACCTTCCAGAACAGTAACCAATAGCTCACAGCTGAAGCACAAGAGTGCAGGTCCTGAAAACCTGTAGACTTAGTTTGGCCAATGTGCAGAGGCAACAGATCAAAATGGCGTGGCTGCTACTGTAATGCCTGCAAGGAAAGATTTAAACAGCCATATGCTGCAGCAGTGTGAGTGCTGACACTGAGCATCACTGGAGAAGGCTGTGAGAATACAGATCTACTGCAGGTCCTCTCTGCATATGGGCTGCTAGGCAGTCACTTTCAGAGGGAGATCAGCTTTTAAAACAATACATGCTTTTGTTCTTATAAACAGTATTTCACTTCAGGGAAGGTGGTGGGTGACTGTTTTCTCCTGCTTTGGCTCCCACAGGAAATAAATGACAAATGTAAGACAAGTCAGATGAGCTGCAGTCATTACGGCTGACCCACACAGACTCCATCCAGTTCCCCATCAGAGCAGTGAGTCACACTGTCAGAACAGGTCACCCTTAGAAATCTGAGGAGACAGACCTTGTGCCTAATATTGGTCACACCCAGCTTGTGAACCGTCCCTGGTCCTGGGGCACACCCTGGGAAGGAAATGCTCTTACAAGGAATTAGCAAAACCATCAGGATCATGAGTATACAAAAAACTCAGAGGAAGATGGTTTTGGTGCTGTCTGAAACCAAAGTTGCAGAAACTACAAACAGTGTATGCACACAGCTCAAGCTTACTGATGGGTACAGCATGCTCAGAGGCCCACCTCCTGTACATATGAAGGATGGGATCTCCTGGTCCCATTCTAAAACTGTTCTCAGTCCTATCCTAATGAGTATGTGACTGTGCTGCAATATATTCTGTATCTTCTACTGAAGCTCACTGAAAAGATTAAGCAATGTAAAGCATCTTCACAGCACCAGGAAGACTGGCTTCAGTGCACACTGCTTAGTAAAGAACTGCCACCTCCAAAGCTCAAGGTCTTGCAGCCACTTTTTCTGCCAAATGAAATCTTACATCTGCAGTAACCCAGGCCAAGAAAATCCATGACAACCCCCAGAGAAAGAAATGAGGGTGCATGTCACTGAGGTTTTCATTTCCTTTGAATCACAGGGAACGTCCTGAGTCAGAGCACCACCCAAAGAGGGCTTTGGATTCAGACTGTGATTTCCCCTAAGAACTTGAAGCGAGCAGAAATAAGCAAAGTAGTCTAGAAGAGAGCTGAACTTGCATCTTCCCAGGACTTTTGCTACAGTGTGGTGCAATTATTCATGTTGCTTCAGATTTGCAATTTCTCCAGCTGGAATCAATAATAAAAAAAAAAAAAACACAATATAAAGCACACTGGCATTTCCTCATATAAGATGCATTTCACTGTTTACTGGTAAGTTGTAAGTCTACTGGTGATCCTTGGCTTGCAGCAGCCTCTGAACTGTGCCCAATAATGAAAAGGCAGGTTGGCCTTGCAAACCTCTCTCAACTTTGAGCCATTGTGGCTCAAAGTCATCTCTCCCAGGGGCCAATACACATCTGTAGCTCAGACTGGCAAAGTTATGAGGAAGTGCTGTCAGAAAATCCACAGAAAGATAAGAAATGTAAAATTATAGATACAGGAAGAAGACTGTTGAGCTGGGGATCACTGGTAACTCATGGTCTCAAGAGATATAACAGCACCATGAAAAGGTGTAAAATCCTAAAGGAAAAAACATGAGTTTAGTGGGCAGCCATTGTTCGAAGGCCAACAACTCAATCATCCTGTGTGTTGGTGTTGGCATTACTGGTGGAAGAAAGCAACAGCGACTCAACCAAGGAAGGTGCAGACAGGCTGATCCTTCTTCTCTCACATACACCTGCCTGGCCAAGAAAGTCTCCACTGATGGCTTCTTTGGAGTAAGAATTAATGCTCAGCCTGGTAGCTAGTTAAATTCAAGTGCTAGCCAGTAAGTTTATATTTTCAGTCTACTGGCAGAGCATCTTCATGCATGGCGAAAGATGCTCAAAAACACTCACTCAAAAGGACTGAAGCCTCGCCTGGAACTTGCAATGAAGGCAGTGCTCAGGAACACTCCTTATGGCCACATCATCCAACCATATAGACACAGTCACTGTGTCATCTCCATGCACAAAGAAAACTCAATTTCCCTCTGGCTAATCATTCACACCTTACTTTCATCACCCACGCTCAGTTATCACTTGACCTACATGTTGAGAAGACGGGGTTCACTTCATCTGCAAGTCACAACTGCTAAGACAAACCAGCACAGCACTGAAATCAGCACCTTGCAAAGCAAACAAACATTTTAAATTTAAACACAAGATGATCTTTCATCGATTGGAAAAAACATCAGGTCCTTGCAGGACATCTCTCTCTACTGGACCTAGCAGACTGATTCTGAGCTTAGCCCATGCAGCTGCAGCAGCCACAGCAAGAAGGATCCTGAGTTACCTACCAGCCTTTTCTCTCCCAAAATGGATTTGGGCCAGGAGACATCAAGAAGCTGAACATTTCAGCTCACGCCCATACCTGCACCAACACAGGCTACAGCTGCCAGAGTCAAGCTGGTCCCTTCAGCTGTGTGCTCAGCCCACACTGTCATCCCTTAGAACAAGGGAAGTGACAATTCTTTTTGCAGCAGAGATATACCTCACATAAGCAGGACTGCAGTTAAACCATGGACATTTAACAGTTCAATTCTCATTATCCTCTCCTACATGTACTCAACGTTTCCCTGCAGGTCTCCGTTCTTATGCTTTACCTTTCCTACTCTGGCTTGAACTAATGCTTGGTACTTTCAGCTTCTCTTCAAAGTTATTCATTGCTATATGCTTTTTCAGAAAGCAGCAACCACAGCCCTGTACTGTGGCTCTGTGGTACTTAAGACCAGAGCATAGAATTAGACAAGCAAGACTTCTGTAGGGAAACATCACACATTTCCAGCTTCACAACCGCTTGTAATATTTTCCAAATCCTCTCCACCTTGTTAAGGAAAATGAAAGCTTTAAGTTACTCCAAAGGCATCTCAAGGCCTTTTGGTTTCAACTGAGCCTTATTCACTTTGCAATTCTGTTTTATACTCTGCCAGCCCGCGTGTAATAAAAATCAGGGAGCAATTTCAGTTTTAAATTTCATTTGCCACATGTGATTCCATTTACTGACTAAATCCCAAACCTCTCTAAGTTCCTTTTGTTCTCCACAGGTTGTTTATTACTCCCCATAGTTTTACACAATCACAGATTTTTAATAAGTTACATATTTCCATCTTTCCCAAGAACACTAGCAGCAAAGTAAGGAAAGACATTCAGTAAGCCCCTAATTGCTACAATCTCTATCATATCAACACACTTTTCTGAAAAAAACTTTATACCACACACAGATCTTGCCATGTCTACCACTGCAGACATAGATCTTACCACGGAGCCTCATCAAAAAGTTTTTTTCTGGATGCCTTGTGGTTGGCTTCTGCTTTTGCTCTGCTCCCCTCTCTTTGTGTTCCTGCTCCCACAGGGAAATGAGTGGCTTTGCCCAACATGCCCCAAGTTAATGCCTGACTGTTTTGCTGGATCGCTTTTGCCCTAGGCCAGCTCTTCTGTATTAGTTTTTAAACCAATTCCAAAAGGTCCTGCAGAAAGTGCACATGTCCTGCTTTTCTATTTCTGATCATAATTCATACACTCAGAGACAGGTAATCCCATTATCTGATTAGATGATGCCAGTTTTGTTTCACTGTTAACGAATCCCTGCTGCCAGTTCAGGACATAATCCTGATTTACCGTTGTAGCAGTTATTGCTTTAACAGAACCTGGCTGGACAAAGAAAAGAAGGCTAAGACATTCACACAGATAAATTGAGCATCCATAGTTATAAATGCCAAAATTAAATAAACAGACTGAAATATCTTAAAGTTTTGGAGGGGACATAAAACTTCATGTTACAGGACTTAAATCAATTATAACGAAAGGGATGAAAGTCTCCTCCTGGCCAGATTACAACACAAACGCCTACTGCAGCATGGTTTGCCTCTTCAGCAGCTGGCGTTGGTCACTTTTGGAGATAAGCTGTTGGGACAGACAGATTGTGTGAGCTGGAATGGGAATGATGGTGGTCCAGCATGTGTAAAGCTCAGATAGGCTATAGCTGCAAACAAAACTCATTTGGATTCATTTTCGCAGTTATCAATGTAAGCAAATTATTGATGGTGTTAGCATCTGGATATCAGTTTGGTTTCCTGACAGAAAAGCAGTCAGGCTAAGCTTTTCTCGCCCACTAAAAATGATGCAAAAAAACAAGTCGTTACAAAAGCAGCTTATGTTGCAGCAATGTCACGACATACTAACATACTATATTGCTACCTCAAGACCCCAAGACCCTGAGTCTCATCTGCCCTGCAGAAAGGCCAAAAAAAGCTGAAAATCACCTACATGTAAATCTCTGTATCTTTCCACTGTTTAATCAAGCCCATGGCAAATCTAAGGTACTGAGAGTCACAGTATAAAAGGTAATATGAACAGAAAGCTGACATTCTAAAAACAGCTCACCAGGATTGAGAAACTGGATTAATTTACCTTGAAATTCTTTCCTTCTATCCAGATTTTGTACAAATGTCCTTTGTACCTCATCTTTTTTATCTGCAGCTTCGCTGAATGAATGCTGTGCTTTTCGACTGAGATTACTTTGATTGCAAATATCTGGTCTAACAAGTCAAAGTCAACCTGATCACATGAGAATTTGTTTCTTTTGGAGTTTTATATTGTAGTATCTCACTGCAAAACATATATTTTGCAGTGAAGACAGTGGGGGTATGATACATCTCACTTTCAAATAGCAGCCTAGAAGACAGTGATCTATCTGAGGTAGCTATTTTAGAAGGGAGCAAATCACCTGCAACAGTAAAGCTCTCTCTCCCCATCTGTTAATGACAGGCCTAGATAAGCAATTTAGTAAGCACGCCCAGATTTTAGAAGACTAAAGCTAGTAAAATGGATTCCCTCTTTAGATTTCAGATGTCAGGAATCAGATGAACAACAACACTGGGACATAGGTCTTGTCTTATTCTGTGTTATGGGAAAGATCCAAATAAAGCTTTAAATTATATGTTTGTAAACAGCCTCATTTTACACAGGAAAATTGACTTTATCCTGACAGATCTGGATGAAGCAAAAGTTTACTGTACCCAGAACAGAACCATCACCAAACCGTGTTGTTTCCTCAATTGAAACACTGCAGGAAAAGAGCTATTTTGTTGTTAAAAATACAAAATTAAAAAAATCCCCCATTTTTTTTTTCCAAGGGAGAAGCACTCAGCTTTTTAGCCTGGTATTTCTAGTTGACAGCCTGTCACTTTGTGCTCATTAAAACCCTTTGACCAGTCTATTCTGGACACATTAAAACTGTCTGTTGTCCAGACTGCTTTCTACTCTGACTCCCCAGAAAAATGAAGGCATTCTACACTTAGATTTGTTTCCTCCCAAGTTCTTGTTTGAGATATCTTAGAGAAAGCTGAAAATAATTAAAACTAATAGAAACAAGAATAGAGGCATGAAACTCAACAATGAGATGCCCACAAGTGCAAAATACCAACGTCAGTTCCTTACCACCAGCACAAGTTGATGACAAAGCAATAGTTTTTTTTCTACCATCTTTCTGCTGCCTGAATAATCTCTCATCAGTGGATGCTACTATCCCTAAAATTGCCATCATCAATCACTGCACTATGGAGAACAGTGTCCTATTCCGGTCTGCGAGACATCTGTCAGCAGGATTATTCTCTGTTCATACAACCTGTCGTTATATTGCTGCACAGAGCTTCACTTCTGAAGAACAGAGAGGATGAGGAAGGGTATGACACAGTACTCACTTGTCTTCTATACTCCCAAATAGGGTCATACACCTTCCATCCATTTTCTGGAAAAACTTCTTTGTATTCGAATGCGAAAAGTGGCTGAAAAAAAGAAAATGTGCCATTAAGAGCCCATTCAGTGTCCATTTCCAGGATGCTTAATATCTAAAATAAGAATTCTTGATGGATCCTTTTTTTTTTTCCCCACTGTATTACTTTTCTTTTAAGGTTTTGTTAAAAAGATCAACACGCTAGCTGTAGGAGGTCATTTCTTCAACAGCGTATCTACCATAGCACCCCAGTCTTTCTTGTCTATCACCTAGTATTTCATGGACAAAAGAACTCTGTTATAAGAGAGAAAGAAAAGACTACTTGTGCAAGAACAATCTTACATATTAAAAACTAGATCCTTCCATGATCATGATCCTAGGCAACATGGGTTTCCCTGCTTGAACAGGAAGGTTGAACCAGATGGATCAAGAGGTGGTCCCTTCCCATCTAAATCATCCGGTGATTATATGACTTAATCAGCATCTGAAGCAACAATTGCTGAGTCACAAAATGACTGAACAGATGAACTGCATTCCAGGTTTGGAAGCAGTGCAGTCACCATTAGCTGTAAACCTCTATGAATGTCACTGTGTTTGGAATATTTTATATCCACTATGAGGATGATCAGAAAGTTATTCTTCATTAACAAAGTAACCCAGCCCAATGGTAGTAGACTTTTCCTGTTTTCTATACAATTCTGACTGAGTTAATCTTCAGACAGGTTTAAAACCAGCATTTCATCTTGTTCAACATGAAACACATCATGTGACTATTCCACCTGGTAGGTGAAACTCAACAAAACAGTTCACTGCCACTCTGCACCTTTTGGTAACAACATGGGAAGAAAACAAAATAAAACCAAACATACTTACAAGATTATTTGAAACTGGGAAAGCATATTTCATGAGGTTCTCAAATATGGATCGTCTAGTTCTCCCTTCAGGCTTATGAGCAAATCTTAAGTTTCTAATGTCCTAACAAAAAAAAAAGGAAATCAAACTGTAAGTTTTAAACCATTTTAACATCCAACAGAACTCCAAAAGTCAGCATTCAAAACAAAGTCACATCATGATGTTCTTTACAGTACTGATTTAGTACTGCACATTGATCAATGCCGTATAGCAGCTCTGGGTTTGGCTTGATGGCCCGCTGTAGCCTTCAACAAAACCTGTCACAAGCACAAAGGAGTAAAGGGAGTGCATGGGTAGTACCTTGCCTCCAAATGAAGCTCCCTACCTGCTAAAAGTCTAGGGAAGAGACCTAGGGACAACTATCTCAGATTGGCAGGACTTTGTGAGACAGCTCCTGCTGTGCTCCCAAGCTGAGGTGTGCTAGAACACTACTGGAAGGGACTACCTCACAAAGCATCTCCATAGAGCTACTGCACGTAGGGAGCTGAAGCCCAGCTAGTTCACTGTAAAGTAACAAATGCCAGCTCCCTTTAAAACCTGCAACTCAGAGCACTCGGAAGGCTGAGTGAAACTGAGAACTCCTCCACTTTGCATGGCAGCAGTTTCCACAAAGAGGGGTAACCCAGGACATCTTTTCCATACTCATCTACAAAATAAAATTCAGGAACTAAATAAAGCATCTCTATAGTGCCATGATTTTTCAGTCAAGCCTACAAACTCAAACATTTGTAGTAAACAATTTAAGAGCCACCAGCGGGAAGTGAACTATCAAGGTCAAGTACATGAAGATGGTACAGTAAGTCAGAGAAGAAGGAAAATGGCCGTCTAACAAGACTGAGATGAAGTGACAGGTCTCACACAAAATTTCATTATGCATAAGCTCTATGTGTACTAAACTGCTGTGCGTCCCCTGGGCCAAGAGGGCTGCAATATATATGTATGTTATGTAGTACCAAGGAATCTATCTTTTAGTCTGTGTCTGAATTTCCCATCCAGGGAAATAATACAGTTCTTTCTAAACCTCCCTGTGTAAGCAAGTTTGCATATGGGTAACATGGCTGAGGACAAAGAATCCAGAGCAAAACAGGAACAAATTGGCCTGATAGCACAGGCACCCCCATGGTAGCCAGGGAGGATTATGACTACAGTAGGCTGAGGAAGAAGCTGGGTGACTTGGTACAGACTATATCAACTGTTTGTGACTCAGCATGCCCACAGCTTGAGAGTCTGCTTAGCTTCCTGGTGCCTCAAAGTCACAGCAGTGACCAGAACTGCTTGGGACTCATTTTCATGCATCCATCTGCTCTCAAACAGAAAGCAGCATCCTAAGACCTTCGAGGTTCAGAATCTAGCTCTCTCCAAGTTGCCACTGAGAAAAGCAAAGGGGTTGTGCCTTGGTGAACAGAGAAGGTATGGATTTTAGGACAGGGGATGTTGCCTTTATCCGCTTTGGGGTCTACAATAAGTAAACACTAAGAGGTGAACTAATCATTTCCACTACAGTTTGCATTTTCAATTACTCCAATAGCTCCTGAGAGGCACACTTCAAAAATTTACTACCTTGAAAGAAATGCAAGAATAGCCTCAAGGGGAACTGAAGGTTACTCTCCAGTTCGTCACCATAAAGCACAGCAGCAGATGGACACAAGGTAATGACCTTGAGAGAATCATGAACCCCTTTTTTGCTCTTGAAGTGCAATTGCATTGAAGGCATCCCATACAGCACAATGAGTAGAGTCTTCTTGGGATGTTCTGGTAAACAATGTGAAAGACTTGAGGACTGCACTACTGTGATACAGACTTAGGTTTCCACTATGAAGAGAAAAGAGATTACCTAGCATAAAGCCTTAAAAAAGGTTGGGATCTCATCTCTAATGAGTGGAGCTACAGAGTCCTGGAAGTGACATTCAAAATCAGACATTTTTGAAGTGCATGAAATAACACTGACAGGTTTTCCAGAACTTCTTACAATATTATAGAGAAAATCTTTTAAAATATATTTTCCCTTTCTCCCACTGTAAAACATAAAAGTTTACCTTGCATACAATCTCCAGCCCATAGGAATTCTCACCACGACTAGAAGCACCTCCTATTTTCTCCACTCTGTTGATAACACCTAAAGATGCATCTAGGACAAAAGGAGGGTCCTGTAGACAGTTGAAATTTGTGAGTTTAAAAAGGGGAGGGGGGAAAATCCCAGCTCCTGTTCCCTTATGCCTATATTCCCAAACATATAACTATCATTCACACACAACTACACTAAAAACCACAAACCAAAATACGCCTAAGTCCTCAAGACTGAACAGCCCACAGAAGCAGATGGTTACAAAGGCTTACCCGTTCCATGCTTTTAAAGTACAGTCTATAATTGGTAACAGTAAGGGTTCCTCTGATGGCTCCAGTGAAGGGGCAGATGTAAGTAACATCTTTAGCTTTAAAAAAAAAAAAAAAAAAGAAAGAAAGAAAGAAAAAGTGAATTTCATGGTTAATTTATGAAAGTAAAATTATTATTATAACAAACATACTCAGGATGTTCTCTCCAGACCATGAAATGAAAACAAGTTTAATCGGGTGTGCTAGCCTAGAACTAACATGCAAGTTTCAGTTCTGTCAAGAAGATAAAAGTTTGGGCATAAATCAAAGTAAAGGCAAGTACAGTCACCTGGAATCTCACATTTGCACAGAACACAATTGAAAAGTCAGTATTCGATGCCAACTATTTACTCTTCCTGTCTCATCACTAGTAACAGTACCAGAGAACACCGTGTGTGAGAAGAGACAATTCCTGCATAAATGCATAATATTTGAAACTGACAAATATCTGCACAAAGAAAATTATTGCCAGCAAGCTGTTTTGTGCCATCGAGACCAAGAGAAGACAGTTCTCCTGCAGATGGCTTTTAGGATGCTTAGGTCCTCCTTCACACCCTTACACACAGAGTCAGACCCAACATGCAGTCCCTGCTAATGGCCCTGACTGAAGCCAGCAGAGCTGCAGTGACTTCCAGCAGCCAAAAATCCATATAGCACCCAATTGCCAGTGATGTTAAACCTTAACCCAGCGATTAAATTACTCTGCAACAATTCAATTATTTCTGAACCTGAGTGACGGTGACTCAAACCAGTCCCCTTCGTAAAAGGCCTCAAACGTTTCTCGCTTGTGCCGGCAAAAGGAAAGAGGTGCTGCTGGTTTTCCACAGCAAACACCTCCTCTAACTGCCCTTCTGTTTTATATCAATTAAAAACGCCAACATTCAAGTTGTTCCCCCCCCCCCCTCCAACACCCATCAGTGACCTGTCACACCTTCTGTCACTGAACAGTGGGCTGGCTGTGCTGCGGCGATGCTATTACCAACTGGTAGCAATATTCCTCAAACACAGACATCCTTTCAGAAGGAGACTACAGCTGCCAGATCCATGAAATTTAGAAAAGAAAACAACCCCCAGCCCATCTTAATAACCTTAGGCCTACAAACCCTAAGGGATCCATTTTGCAAGAGCTGCAAGAAGGCAGTAAGAAAGCTCACCTCCCAGTCAGGTGACAGCCACCATGCAAACCAGTGGGAGGCTGCTGAAGTGTCACAGGGACCCAAATTTCATCCACCCTTATCCCATAGCTTTCAGTCTGGAAGGAGGGAGGGACACTGCCTAACTCTACGGCACTCATCTCGTCTCTCTGCTTCTACAAAGTCATTGTTGACTCTCTAGATTCAGACACTGAGAGGAATTTTTAAAAATCAACAGTGGGCAAGCAGCCAGACCCAGCTTTGGTTGCCTTCAGAGCCTCAGCTAGAAAGTTCCAGGGAAAATGGAAGAGGAATGACAAGTCTGGAGCAAAATAAGGAACAGATAATTTTTGATTTAAAATATATTGGATAAATTGTATTTAAAATACAATTGTATTGTATATATTGTATTTAAAATATATGGATATTAGGAAATACTACTTCTCTGAAAGGGTGGTCAGGCACTGGAATGGGCTGCCCAGGGAGGTGGTGGAATCCCCTTCCCTGGAGGTGTTCAATGAACGTTTGGATGTTGTGTTGAGGGACATGGTTTAGCGAGAACCATTGGTGATAGGTGGATGGTTGGACTGGATGATCTTGTGGGTCTTTTCCAACCTTAGTGATTCTGTGATTCTGTGATATATGCTAGCAACCTTACTATTCATTTCTATAAAGTGAAATGCCTGTACAGTGTTCACACACATCCGAAAAAGAACAGGAATTCCCAGTAAAGGGAAAAGGTGCTAGAAAAATGTTTTCCAGGCAAGGAATCTTCGGCATAATCTCAAACACTAGTCTTGCCAACTTAAAAGCCACACCACCTCTCACATTTACATTAGCTTGGTTTCCTAAGGAATCACAGAATTACAGAATCATAGAATGGCCAGGGTTGGAAGAGACCTCAAGGATCATGCAGGGCCACCAACTTCCACATTTAGTACTAGACCAGGCTGCCCAGGGCCCCATCCAGTCTGGCCTTGAACACCTCCAGGGACAGCGCATCCACAACCTCTCTGGGCAGCCTGTTCCAGCACCTCAACACTCTCTTGGTAAAGAACTTCCCCCGACATCCAACCTAAATCTTCCCTCCTTCAACTCAAAACCATTTTCCCTGTCCTGCTGTTATCTACCCTTTCAAAGAGTTGATTCCCCTCCTGTTTGTAGGCTCCCTTTAGGTACTGAAAGGTTGCAATGAAGTCAGCCCGCAGCCTTAGTCAATTCTACTTACATTGCACATGTACACATGTATCTATATAATGTCCAGTTGTTTGTCCTTAATCCTCACATGTTTCTATGATTTCCACAAGTATATAACTGATAAACAGGGTCCTTCAAGGCATTAAATTCCTCCATTGTTTGTGCAAATGTGGATACCAGGTATGAAAGAGGTTGTACTAGAGCTGCTACCAAGGGAAAGTCTTATACGCTCAGTCTTATTCTGCACTCTGACGTCCACCTGGCCTTACAGACTCACGTGACTGCTGGGTTATTTGCCACCAGATAAAACACTGTTAATGCTGATCCCCAGGAACCCTTCAAAATACAATCTTGCTGAAACAACATGCATGGTCTCAAAACATCAGCAATTTGCTATTGTTGGTCATTGACCACCAAAGTATTTTGCTCTATGGATATTCTATTTGGTCAAGCAAACAGTAAGAAATGTACTCTTTGCTTACCCATGTCTTTAATGGTTTCTCCTGGCAGCAAAGGTGGCTCTTCCATTTCTGCCAATTTATTAGTCTCTCGTAGGACCTACATAAAACAGTAGAAAAATAAATTGATTATATTTTCAGAAAGTGAAAAGTCTACCCCTATCTCCAACAAGTCAACAACATAAAGAACAATAAATATTCAAAGATCCTGAGGTACTGTCTCAGCCTCTGAAAGGTCAACACAAAGCACATGTCCTGCAACCTCTGAGCATGCCATGCAGAAGCGTTGAGGTGAGGATGCCCCTGATGGAGAAGCAGCTTGAGCAGGCTGTGCCCCAGCAGCACACTCACCAGGTGGCTCCTTTGCACACTCCAAACTTCTCCTCAACTTATATATAATTTCAAGCCAAACTCTCTGCAGTTACACATAACCAAAGGGGTAGGTCAGAATGATCAACTACTACCACAATGCTATCAACTATGAACTAGAGCAATTGCTTGCTTACACTAAGGAAAGTGATGAAAGATGTCTTACCACACCAATATCCTCAATGAGGGTCCAACAATGGCAGAGATGCACATTTGGCTCAATGGTAACAATCTCCTTAAAATGTCACATTTTATATATAGGAGGTATAGGTTAGTTTTTTTCTGCTGTTTGCTGAACAGCTCCTCCTCCACCTTCCCTTGGGATGAAACTTATTTTGCAAGCATATAACAGTATGTACACAAGGGCTTCCACTGGAACAGCACAGCGCAGGGAGGTGGATATTTTCAGAAAGCACGTCTACAACTATAGAAGCATACAAATCCAATAACTCCAAGTGCAAAGTCTTGCACCTGGGTGAAAGCAACATCTACTACCAATATAAGCTAGATGAAGAAAGGATTGAGCACAACCCTACCAAAAAAGACTTGGGGGTACTGGTAGACGGCAAGCTGGACATGAGCCAGCACAGTGCCCTCGCAGTTCAGAAAGCCAACCCTACCCTGGGCTCCATCAAAAGCAAACACAGCCAGCAGGGAAAGGGAGGTGATCCTGCCCCTCTACTCTGCACTGGTGCAGCATCACCTGGAGTACTGCATCCAATGTGGAGTCCTCAGTACAGCAGAGACGTGGAGCTGTTGGAGCACATCCAGAGGAGAACCACAAAAATGCTCCAAGGGATGGAACACCTCTCCTATGAGGACAGGCTGAGAGCTGGGGCTGTTCAGCCTGGAGAAGAGAAGGTTCCAAGATGACCTGAGAGTGGCCCTTCAGCATCTAAAGGGAAGCTACAGGGAGCAGACTCTTTAGCAAGGTCTGTTGTGACAGAACAAGGGGAAATGGTTTCAAACTTCAAGAGGGCAGATTTATGTTACATATAAGGAAAAAGTCTTTTACAGGGAGGTGAGGTACTGGAAAATGTTGCCCAGAAAGGTGATGGATGCCCCACTCCTTGAGGCTTTCAAGACAAGGCTAGATCAGGCCCCGGGCCACCTAATCTAGATGTGGATATCCTTGTTCTTGCACGGGAGTTGGACTAGATGACTTTAAAATGTCCCTCCCAACTCTAAGGATTCTAGGATTCTATGATTTTAACGTGATGCCTAAACTTCTTATAATAAACTTATTATAAACTTCTTATAGCAGGAAGCAGACAGGAAGAGCAGGTGTAAGCAACTAAGATTAAGGCTAAGTCTACATGGCCAAATGCAGATGGATCTGTATCATAATTCCCATACCCTGAACTGGCTAAATGACCACAATCAGCAGCACCTGATTGCTCAGTCCAATAGCACAGAGAAGAACAGGTAAGTCAGTCCAGACCCTGCCTCATGCTGCAGCAACCACAAGACTCTGGGTTTTTCTGCTGCATCCTTCCTAGTGGAGACAGGCAGAGAGTGCTTATGTCTGCTCACAAAAATGTGCAGACTTAGCCAAAATGCTTTCTTTATCTTAATGTGAGGAAGGAAAAAGAATTGGCTTAATTTAGTATCAGGAAATCCCTGCAAAGAAAATTGAAAGATATGGCTTAAAGTGGCCCTTACAGCCTGACACATGTGTGGTCAACATTTATGTAGGATCAAGCCAAAGGGAGATCCTCAGGGATGAAAAATTCTCTCAACTACACAGAGAAATGAAAACAAAAACTAAAGAAATCCCATGCCACAATAAAAGCACGTTCCAGTATTTTCACACAACACATTGATGTATAGATGAAAAGATTGCTAAGATCAAAGCTTTCTTGAGAACAAGATGTACATTTCAAAAAATGCATTCAAATGACTAAAACTTACAATAATAAAAAAGAAAAAGCAAGTATGGTCCTAACTTCCTAATAGGAACCTCACAAATGGGGAAATAAAGGAGCGTGCCAACCTGGGGCAGCTCTTACCTGGGAAGCAGCCAGTGCAGCTGGGACTGATGTGAATGGGGTCAATGAAGGGAGGTCAGCACTGACAGTGAGGAACTTGCAAGAGAGCTTCTCCCCCACATCAGCAATACCACTAAAAGCAAGGCTTCACCAGTATAACTAGCAGAAATCTATGCTAGGGACTTCTTGTCAGCACAGCTGTGCTGGCCGGAGATCACACACCCATCAAAACCCTGATTGACGGCCTCCTCAGCAAAAGCCTGTGATGTAGACCCAGTCTCAACTCCTCTGTGTCAATTTTTGCACTTGAATAACAACCTTGAAATTAGCCGGGTAACATCTGGATTATGCCAAATGAGATGGAGGCTTCTAGCTAATTAGTCCTTAAGTGGTGGTCGCCTTTGCTGCCTTTTATCTTGGAAGGACATACGTGAAAAATACACTCTGTGTTCAGGACAGGATACACAACTTCTTCTGGAAGGTCTGTATCCAAACGGGCAGCAGCTGCTCTTGGATCGCTGGGGCCAGCAGCTGGACTCACTGCTCTCCTGCAGATGTCGGCGGGAGCACATCCAGCAGTAAACGTTTGGACAACTGGGTTGTATCTTAAGCCAAAATAAATATGAGGTAAGGTATACAGAAAGCATTCAGCAGGACAAAGAGCTGCTGTGGTCATTAGGTGGGCAGTGCTCAGGTGGGCTTTAAACACTGCACTGAAAGTGGGAGACAGACGGATGAAGAGGAAAGCAGGAGGCAAGACTAAGATCTCCCTGTCCACACCATTCTGTGAAAGTTGAAAGCCATTTTTGGTTTTAAAACTGGCTCTTCTAAGTGTAATAAAATCCAGCTGCTCACTCATACTCTTTGAAATGTGGAGTCCCCAGGGTCAGAAGCAGGGGTTAACAATCCAAATCTGAGTTCAGTTCAACACACGGCAGTGGACAGATGAACAGATGACCTCCTGCAAGCATAGCACTTAAAGGAAATAAAAACAGAAGGCAGAAGCCATTGATCCCA